GTAACGCAGAGGGAAAAAAAAAAAGAAAAAAAAAAAGAAAAAAAAAAGAGGCTGTGGTCATTTTAGTCTCAGCCGGGGGCTCCATTGTCCCATGAACAGCAATTTAGTCAAAACGGACAACCCATGAACAACAATTTAGTCAAAACGGACATTTTTCATTATTTTAACGAAATTGAAACGGACTAATTTGGCCTGACTGAATCCGCCCAAGCCAGGTCAAAATTTTGACGAAATTGAGGGTCCGGTGATGGACCGGCGTTCATAAGATGCCGGCCCCCCTGGCTGTATCTGGCTTAGCTGGAGTCCAGGGGGTCCAGCGTTCTGAAAGTATCTGGACTTAGCTGAGTCCAGGGGGTCCAGCGTTTTAAGAGCAACGGTTCCTCACTTTCATCAAAATTTTGACCTCCGTTGGGCCGATTCGGGCCAACTTAGTCGGTTTCAATTTCGTTCAAAACATAAAGAATGTCCGTTTTGACGAAATTGCTGTTCATGGAGCTGCTAGTGTTTCAGTCGTATGCTTGTACAAACAAACAATTACAATGTTCAGGGATGCTGGAACCGCTTTCCAGCAGGTGCTGCTCCCCGCCAAGAGATGGAGCCTCCTGGGGAGTGCCAGCCTGCCAGGGTTGCCTGCTCCTATCAGCACCCTAGCATCAGCCGGGGCTGTTCATTCAGAAAGAAGAAGAAGAAGAAGAAGAAGAAGAAGAAAAAGAAGAAGAAGAAGAAGATATCAATCGAAGTCGTTGACAAATTGATATTAATATGGTTTTCAGGGCCTAAAGCTGGCCTTTGCACAAAGAAAGAGCCTCAGCAGGAAAGAGGCGGAGGGAGGAGTTGTGGGGGAAAAAAAGAGGCCTACTAATTTGCATTTTTTAAAATTGGACCTGATCCGTGTACATACCTTCCTATCTTCTTCCATCTGTTTTTTTTTTTTGTTTTTTTTTTTTTTAATGGTCGGCTTGGGATGCACCACTGCTCCAGGTGATAAGAGCAACCTCGAGTAGTGGCATCCCCTTGTTGATGGCTCGCTCCTTTCCATTGGTGGGGACCACCACCTTGCAGGAAACCAGGTCCAGCGTCCCTCACATTACCATCTGTTACTGGGTCCTGGTCCTCGGGGAAAACGAAAAAAAAAAAGGGTCTCGTACCGAGGTACAGAGGCAGCATTGATTACCCTTTGCAACGAGGGCCCGGGATTGACCCGCCTAGGCTACTTGTCATCTGAACCACTTTTTGAGAACTTGTAAGTTATCCAGATCTGAGGTGCATCGCTCTGTCATTTTTATTTCAGGGCCCAGTGCCCAAGGATATAATTCAATTCAATTCAATTCAAAAGGGGACAGATGGATGAGTTGCCAGCTCGAGACAGAGGATGACCACTGTACGGCCGGAACCTGGGCTTTTTTTTTTTTTTTTAATACAGGAAGAAAAAGAAAATGTATTCGTATAGCCTCGGGGGAGTACCAGCCTGCCAGGGTTGCCTGCTCCTATCAGCACCCTAGCATCAGCCGGGGCTGTTCATTCAGAAAAGAAACAGAAGCAGAAGAAGAAGAAGAAGAAGAAGAAGAAGAAGATGAAGAAGAAGATATCAATCGAAGTCGTTGACAAATTAATATTAATATAGTTTCCAAGGCCTAAAGCTGGCCTTTGCACAAAGAAAGAGCCTCAGGAGGAAAGAGGCGGAGGGAGGAGTTGTGGGGGGAAAAAAGAGGCCTAGTAATTTGCATTTTTGCAAATTGGACCCGATCCGTGTACGTAGTATGTACCTTCCTATCTTCTCCCTGGGCTCGTAAAAGAAAAAAAGCATAAAAAACTTAAAAAAAGGGAAAAAAAAAAACAATCTGAATACTAATCTAATTCCTATGAAGGTGAATATTATTAGGGATAATTTGCGAAATACCCCTATAACTTGAGATATATGCCAAAATGCCCCTAAAAGATGTGGGTAGAGCAAAATGCCCTTTTGGGCCTAAATCTTTGTGTTTTGCCCCTGTCAGGCCCGTGTGCAAATTTGCAATCTGGACCGCGACGTTGGGGCCTGGGCCTGCACCCTGTTTTACCCGGTTTGCCCTCCATACCAGGCGGACAGCTTTGCGGAATACCGAGGCCCGTAGGCGCAGCAGTTTCCCTCCGCGATTCAAACGTTCAAACGCGTTTCAAGTCTCTGCCTCTGTCTCCCGCTGTGTTCGGCAGCTTTCTTCATCGTCCTGGCTCCACCCTGGTAAGGTTCCCCATCTCCAACTCCTCCTCCGTCCCAATCCTCCAAGTTCTCCTCCTATGACAGGTCACCATGTTTGAAATCCTCCTGCTGGTCACTCCTGCG